TTCTTGAGCTAAATAACTAACAGCAATATTAGATTGTCATCCTCCATAAAGACTGTAACTAGAGGGTGATAAAGATATACACTGCCAGTAGGTTTCAAAAATACTTGCTAACAGCAGAAGAATGGTCAGACTTAGGAATCTTAGGTTCCAGTCCAGATTCTAAAGGGAAGCATGCTCTTCTATCCATATCCACAACACTGACACTTTCTGTTCCAACTCCTCCAACCTGTGTTTAATTGATCATTACCATTCCTACACATAAGTCCAAACAACTGTCTGAATACATGCAACACAGTATTTTTGAAAGGCTCATATGTAGGGATCTACTGAAATTGTGATTTCATGGAAATCATGAAAGCAAGAAATATCTGCAAAATAAACGAAAAAAAGAAAAAACTTACTGAAAATAAAATGCTGGCTCCCAGAGGGAGCCAGCAGTCCTCACAGTGCTGCAGCCCAGCCACACAGACCACCATGGGGGAAAGGAGGCAGAGGGAACTCCCTGGACGAAGGGGAACCCAAGACGGCTGCTGCCCAGGCCCGTCACTGCTGATTGGCTGGGGAGGGTGGGGGGGAGAGCCCTCAATCAGTCCATGAAAATGGTGGCTGGCTCCACAATCTCTCCATGAAATCAGCTGGCCACTTCCCTGGGTAGACCCCTACTCATACTTTTGGCAAAGTTAGCTTGTCACGGGAATGCGAAAAAATACATCCCTGACACAATAGCCACCTTCCTGCTCCGAAGTGTGGGCCCTATGCATTTCAAAGGCCCACAGATGTTCTTAATATGAACTATCCAATGTATGTGTCCAACCATGTTTGTTCCTAGAAAAAGCTGAACTGTTTTTTAATGAAATGAATGAATGAAACCATTCAGTGGCAGACACCCTACACAAAAAATTTCAGCTCAAGAAATTAACAGTTTGAGGCAATTATAATCAGCTGAAAGTAGGGTTTTATAAGGAGGAATGTCAGGCAACCAGATTATTCATGTGTTTCATAGTTTCATAGTTTCTAGGGTCGGAAGGGA